AACAACCATACCAATTCTAGTCTCCGTTTGTTCAGAATCATTTTCTTCTTTTCCAGTTCCTAAAATTAAAAAATCCGGTGAGCTTTGACATTTCATCTCAAGCTTGGGTACTTGGTATTAAAGTCTTACCGACAGACCATACTCGCTTCGCTTGGGCTGGGTTAACAAACGCTTCTGAGATTCTGCCTTTTCCGCTGCCATACCACGCCTTCGATCACTGGACCTAAAACAATCAAAAGTCAAACATTAGTACAGCAAGTAACCCTTGGTTACATGAATGACGCGTTCGAGATCATTATCAGCCTACAATGATAGGCAAGTACTGCCCGTCATCAGTTTTCTGCTCAGCACTTACTATTATTGGGTTGTTTGAAAAGAGCGGGGGAAAAACGAGGAAAAAAACTTTTTTTAAAGTTAAAAACTACTTCCTTACTTGATATTCAGAAGTCTTAGGGTGTCCCTCAAGGCTCCACCTTTGATCTCTGCGTCCAGCTTTGCATCAGTACCAAAACTAGGCGATCGATTGACCTGCGAAATAAAAGACAAAAATTATAGATGGATCAATCTGACAATGGCACGTGACAGTTAGTCCAAGGTAGCAGTGAAAAATATAGTAGAGCACAGGTAGTCCAAAGAGACGGGAAAAATATAGTAAAAGACCAAGTAGCCCAAAGAGGCGGCGAAAATATAGTAGAGCACAGGTAGGCCAAAGAGGCGGGAAAAATATAGTAAAACACAGGTAGTTTAAATTGGGGCAGTAAATTTAAAGCAAGCCACAGGTAGCCCAAAGAGGCCACTTTATACTAACCTCTATTACCCAAGGKCGAAGTTTTCTGTCCAACATGATATCAAATCCAAGAAGCTCGAAACAACAGCTGTCACTTCCAGGAACAGCACCAGGTCGGCACATGCGGTAAGAATGAAGTACATGGGGCTGAGCTACAATKAGGGTCTTGACAATAACATCCTGTGGGGAGAGGAGAAAGTATATATTGGATATATTGCACTAAGGATCAATTAAAATGATCGTAACGATTTTGTTCAGTAAAAATTACAACACAAATTGTGAAGGTTATGGGAAAACTTTCTAATAAAGGTCTTGATGAGTTGACAATAATATCCTGTGGGGGAGAGGGTGCAATGTAATCGTAAGACAAAATATTGCTATTCTTTTTCCTACCGTTATGTTTCTCCACATAGAATTAACATCGTAATCCATGGACTGCAGCCACTCCTTCAAGAACTTTATACTCCTGAACAACAAACAGATATTATTTTGAACTCTAAACTTTCTTGGAAAACAGCTTTGAATTTTAGCAAGGCTTGTATGTGACAGAGTCATGAGCGRGATAAAGAGACATTAAAACGATGCCGGCGCAGCAAAGGCGACACGAGTAGCGGAAAGAGACTGCTTTCATTTCTGAGACTAATTAGCAATTAGTCTTCAAGCCCGAATGGGCTACTGACTCATAGGTCATGAGAGCGAGAGGACTAATTGTTTCAGTCAAATCCAACTAGTTGGTCAAAGATACAGATGCAGACAAGTTTTGGATTAAAATTAAATTCAATGTGTCATAGAAGATAATTTTATCACCGTAGGTACGAAAGATAGTAGACTGACGTTTCGGACGTTAGTCCTTCGTCGGAGTCAATCAGAGTCAAACGACGAAGGACTAACGTCCGAAACGTCAGTCTACTATCTTTCGTACCTACGGTGATAAAATTATCTACTACGACACATTTGGTTCAACTAAAAAACACCGACGCAGTCCAAACTAGTTCCAAATCTAGTCGTCATCTTAAATTCGATGTTTTGGTTTTCGAAGCCAGCGCTTTTCGCTACCAGTAGGATATAACTTATCGGTCTAGTAGTGGCTCATCCAATCAGAAAGCAGCATTGATGATAGACCACTCGGGTTGGATTTGACTAACATAAATTAGTTAGACTGTAGCTTAATCTTATTCTTCGCGTCAAGGGAGCTCGAGTAAAATTTTGATAAGATAACATAGTGAAGAAACGACCTTACCTTTTACTTCCATTGTCAGTACTGTCATCCTTGTTGAAGTTATCGTTGYGTTTGTTGATTGAGTAATTCGTTAAATGCATAAATAACTCATCCTGAAAAATACGTACGTTGAGTCAGATTGAGGGACGTTTCGATAACCAAGTTACCGCCAAATCCATATTTGGGACCGAGTACGCGCGTTACTTTTCGCGCCAAAGTTACCACCAAATCAATATTTTGGTGCAAGCGCGGGTTACAGCATTTAAAGAATAAAGTTACGTTCTGACTTACCAAGTTTTCATCAGAAGGAGATTGGTATGGTTCAGTTCCTAAACGTACCTACACGAAGAGAGAGAATAAGTGTTACTCAGTTTCACTTAGTGCAAAGGCAATGCGCGTACACGACTGAGATGACATATGACCAAATAGACCTTGTCTGGGATGCCCGGGGGGGGGGGGGTACTCTTGCCCGTTTAGGGTAGGGATGTGCTGCTGAGCCCTCTGAACCCTGACCCTGTTCCAGAGTAAAATCGCTGAAAATCATACACTGTTTTGGTATTGCAAAAATGGATACCCTGTTYCAGAGAGGAGAGAGCGTGATTTCATATACCCTGTTCCAGAGCTAGCTCGATTTTATATACCCTGTTCCAGAGTAGAATCGCTGAAAACCATACCCTGTTTGGCGGCACGTACCCGTATAGCGAA